ACTGCAAGGACTCGTCCAAGCAGTCACTGCAGAGTCGGTAACGACTGAGCGCAGATTAAAAAAAAAAAAAAAAAAACATAAATGCTGCAATAAGCACGCAAACTTTATAGACAGCAGTTCAGTTAATCAGCACAAAATTCTAGATGTAGCAAGAAATCACAAGTGGAAGATAAAATAGAAAAAAATATTAACTTGAGCAAAAGTATACCGTGGACCTCTACTCCAGCAGTCCCTAATATTCTTCCAAAGGTTAAGAACGCTTTGATAGTGAAAGTGATTACCAAAAGAGGTGGTGTTTCCCTTCAATGGGTACATTCAAGAAGAGGCCAGTCAGTTATTTTACTTTAATCTGGATTCCTGCACTGAGCAATGGGGACTCACTGATCTGCATGGCCCCTTCCTGATCAGATCAGGACTCACTGATCTGCATGGCCCCTTCCAAGATTCTAAACCAGTGTTTCTCAACCTTGGTCACTTAAAAATGTGGGGCCTCCAACTCCAAGAATCCCTCAGCCAGCTATGCGGGCTGAGGAATTCTGGGAGTTGAAGTCCACACATCTTCAAGTGGCCAAGGTTGAGAAACACCGTTCTAAACCATTTGGTCAGAATCCAGACCAAAACCTAGACAGAACTAATTAAGAATACTCGTGTATAATATACAAAATCACTGTATCCTAACACTCCTAAAGCTGGCCACCCAGCACAGATTATTATGGAAATAGAAAAGGAAAGACAGATCAAACTGCTATTCCACAGGACTGCCTGAAATGTGTTTAAAAACTGCCGATGACATTCTTGCTTTAGACTGAGGGACACCAAGGTTTTCACCATCATCAGGCTAAATTTATTTATTAATTAAATTTATATGCCGCCCATCACCCCCAGAGGGTGACTAAATAGAGTAGAACATTCTAAACAGTAATAGAAAACTAGGGGATGCAGACTCCATAGTTCAACCCTTCTATGGAGGAGGTCAATTCTAGGAGTTGAAGTCCACACATCTTCAAATGGCCAAGATTGAAGATTGAATCTGGCCTGAGAGAAGCTCCCCACCAATTCAAATGTAAAACTGGTCAAGGTGAAAAGGGTTCAGTGATGTCATGGCTCATTTCCCATAGTAAGCATTAACCAGTTGCCTATGATGTGGTTTTAGCCACAGGCATTCAACTCCAAAGTTGAAAACTCAACTCATATGTTTCAGCTATATAATTCAGAATGCCAAACAATCTTCATTTAACTCTAGAAGAATACAAATACACTACTGTGGAGTACAATCACTTGGCCAGGTGGTCTTTCAGATTGTCTTAAGTTGTAAGAGTTATTTTCCATTGATACCTGGACAGTAATGACATCCTATTCATAATTATGGAGGGAGGTAGAAAAGTATTAAGCAGATTATGTCCATCTCAAAATATGACTTTCAACATGAGTATATTGGCAAACCTAAGTACTGGGGAGGGGTCAATCCCAATTCATAACTAAATACAAACTCTATGCAGTCACATGTTGGTATAAACCTCACTATCTTATTTATCTTCATTGTAGTCAAAATGCCACACCTGAACTGGATGTTTACCAGAACAGCCTCCCTACCTGGCAACTGCTTTTTGCTTTGTGAGAAATTATTTCCCCTTCCACAGAACCCCTCTCCAACCCGCCCCCCCAAACTTTGATTGTAACAGCATAAGAGCCATGCTTGTGATGGAATGGTTTGATGAAGGCCGTGCTCGGGGAGATAAGCATTCCCTTAGCCCCCAACAGGA